CTTTCAGGTCAAGCATAACCAAGGATCTTACGAACTCTGGCTGATGTACATCAATAGTCGTAGCAAGCTTGAGGATCGACTTCATGCATATGAGGATGCTTTACTGGCGCTTTGTCACCATTCATCTGCTTCTAATGGTCATGCCAGTATGTGCATCTTGGATTTATTCCTGCAGACGGTGAACTGCTTTTGCTTGTGTGGAAGGGTGGACAAGGCCATAGAGATGATCTGCGAAACCCTGCCGAGTGCAGAAAACTCTGATGAACGGTTTACTTTGTTGCTTTCTAATATCCTCTCACGCTTAACAATTGCTGACAAATGCATCTTCTGGATTTGTTGTGTGTACTTAGTTATTTACAGGAAACTTCCTGATGCTATAGTACAACAGTTTGAATGTGAGAAAGAGCTCCTCTTAATTGATTGGCCCTCTGCTCATCTGAGAGAGGATGACCGGCAGAGAGCTTTTGACCTTGTGGATTTTGCAATACGTTGTGACATCACTGAGGCATCACTTGCAGATGACGCCAACATCAGATTAGCTCAGCATTTCGCTGTGAACCATTTTAGATGTACAGTGGTACTTAATGGCTTAAACTGCAATAGGTATTTGTTGGAGAGATTTGAGACAATGTATCCAACCAGCTTAGAACTACTACTCCTTTCTGCACGGGCAGGGGAGTGTGATTTTGAGGATTTTAGTTTTTCAGGTTTCGAGAATGCACTTAGTAAGTGGCCGAGAGAAGCTCCAGGCTTGCATTGCATCTGGAATCAGTTTGCTGAATATGCTTTGCAGAATGGAAGACGTGACCATGCAAAAGACATCATGGATCGTTGGTTTCTCTCTGCTTGGCAAGTCAGATGTCCCCATGATGAAGGTGTGGCCGGGATGGATCAAGATCATTCATGTTCCTTTTCGAGGATTGCTTCTCAAGCAGATAGGCATGCTGCAGCATCTAGTTATGGTCAGCTGGATGAGATTTTTGGATTCCTCAATCTTTCTCTGCATAAGTTGTTGCAGAAGCAACTTGCAGAGGCTCGCGTTGCAATTGACAAGGCGCTACATGTTGCAACTCCTGAGAACTACAAGCTTTGTGTAAGAGAGCATGCCAAGTTTCTGCTAATGGATGAGACAGTAGCGAAGGAGGGTGCTCAAATTAATGGGATACTCGATTACATGAGTGTTTACTTAAATGATCCTCGAGCTTTTCCCATCACTGAGACATTGCCCAGAAAGTTCATAGGAGATATCAAAAGAACCAGGGTTCAGCAGCTGATGAAGAATATCTTATGTCCTGTTTCCTCTAATTTTTCACTTGTGAACCTTGTCCTTGAGGCATGGTGCGGCCCCTCTCTTTTGCCTCAAGAGTTTGATAAGCCTGATCATCTAGTGGACTTTGTCGAAGCCATGTTGGAAATTTCACCGTCAAATTACCCACTGGCTATTTCGGTCTGTAAGCTAATTAAAAGAGACTATAAGTCCTCAGCTGTTACCTCTGCCAGTCTCTTGTTCTGGGCGAGTTCTGTCTTGGTAAGCACAATTTCTCGTGCTGTTCCAGTAGCACCGGAGTATGCATGGGCAGAAGCAGCTGGTCTATTGGAAAATATTGCAGGTATTGACCCCGTTTTAGATGGGTTCTATGAGAGAGCTTTATCTGTATATCCATTCTCCGTTAAACTGTGGAATTCCTTTCATATTTCAACAAAGAGTGGAAAGGATGCAAGCTCTGTCCTCAGAGCAGCTGAACAACAGGGCATTGAAGCCGATTTGGAGTTTCTCTCAACCATTATAAGGTAGCCGGTTGGTGAACTTGGATGTGCTTGAATTGTAGCAACTTTGGTTCCTGTCGAAGGCCACGCTCCAATTTGTGTTGACTGGTGGATTGGCAAGCCTTGGAACAAGCTTCAAGACATGTTCACGCAGCTGCATGGTGGATGCTAACATAGGACATAGGAAGCACACTGAATATATAGAGGACATGCACAGGACTAGATAAATGTAAGTAGCCATTACAATATCTCACAGTTACTACATATTTGAAGTTTTTGTCGAAGAAGTTAGCTTAGGATAGAACATTTGCAACTTTGGGTTTAGTTTTATTTTTGTGACCCCCGCCCATAGGCTTATTCACGCAAGTTGAAAAGGTATCCCATTCGTTCTTATAGATGGTGTTAAAGACCTTTTTTTTGTTCCCTCACTAGTACAGTAATCAATGTGATGGTTTCTTCTATTGAGATTTTGCATCTTTGCAGTTGTGAAATTACTGGAAATGCAAATTATGTGTCTTTCCGCATTTGTATTTGATCTATCGGACACCCTGCAGTTTTTGTTTATGGGCCGTTATTGTGTGAGTGATGGGAAGCGTCATAGATCGTAGAAAGGATTCTCTTCAGACAGATCAACCTATTGCTTTTAAGGGGTAGTCGGAACAAAGACACATTTGGTGTTGAACTACCATGTTATCGCTTCAACCGCAATTATCAGGTAGTGTCTTATAGTTCTAAAATCACTCTTAGACTAATCTACGGGCCACGGCTAACGATATTGTCTTGATCTAATATTCGGAAGGCTGGATCATTTTAGTAATAAGCGAGGTCGGTTAAAAGAAACGTAAGTCACGATACACGAATGTGGTTGATTGAATGGGTTGGTATGTGCCGTGACAATTGTGAGTTATGTTTTGCTTCAATCGAATCCAAGAAGTACGGTTAGTCTTAGCTATGCGCTTCGAGCATTTGTTTTGGTCTCTTTTTTATCAGTGGCGTTCCTTACAATTGAATACTAAAAAGAGCCTCTTGCATGCTCCTGAAGATTGTGGGAATTACCAAATATATGCATGATGCGGATAGCTCGCATAATCAACCAATCAGAAGCTTAACATTAACCTCTTACCTGTTGTTCTAAGTCTTAAAAATGAAACATAAAAGTACAAAGAAAATGAAGTATAAGGGTGCGTTTGGTAATCATTCTGTTTTAGGAAATAATTTCTGCTCAGAAATGATTTTTTTTTTTGTTCCGTTTCTGGAAATAATTTCTAAGCATTTGAAGGCGTTTGGTAACTGCCTAAAATTTCTTTTTATTAATAATATTTTGAATTTTTTAATATTTCTTTCTTTTTTTTTTGCTTTTTTTCTTCTTCTCCTTCCTTAGCCCATGGCTGGGTCGGTGGCGCCGGCGAGGGCATCGTGGCCCTCGCTGGCCACAGGTGAGGGCTGAACCCTTGCGGCTTGGGCGAGGGTCGCCCTCGCCAGATCAGGCGAGGGAGGCCCTTGCCGCTTGCGGCCTAGGCAAGGGTGGCTCGCGGCTTGGGCGAGGGCCGCGACGCCCTCACCAACCCTGGCCAGTGGCCTGTTGCTAGCACATCGGTCACAGGCCAAGAAAGAAGAAGAAACAAAAAAATTCTTTTCTATTTCCGATTATTGTTCCCAAAATCAAGAATGATTTTTTTTTTAATTCTTGATTCTATTCCAAAATTGATTTTGAGAGCAAATTTGTACCCGGGAACAAAAAATTTACCAAACGGATTTCTATTCTTTTTTTGTTTCCAGGAACAAAAGAATAGAATCAGGCACTGTTTGGCCGGTTACCAAACAGGCCGTAAATGAACATAAAAAGTAATTAGAAGCAAACCAAATTGTGTACATAGAACCTCTATAGCTACGAGATAAGTCAAGTTCAGTTGGTCCGATCGAGGGCGAATTATCTAAACCTAAATCTCAAGTTCTGTTTACATGCTATTTCGCAATGATGCACACAACATGCAAATTGAAGGATCACTCTTGTGGTGCTCCGCAGCTCGTACAACATAAGCAAAATAGGGGCCCTACTAATTTCTAATACCTGTACTTGCTAGCATTCTTTCTGATAGATTCTGTATCTTGTGTAACATAGAATATTAACCACCTTATGGGAAACCGATTGATGCAACCGCATTGTCCGACCCGAAAATCATCTTTTTCCCATATAGTTTCATTGTAATACTGCATCCGATGGCACGGCTAAGGGTTCAATCACCTAACATTCAAAAATCTGGTTTGATATCTGGTATGGTTTAAAAATACCCTTGGAAACTTCTGATGTTGAATCTCAGAGATTGTGTTTGCCAAATCCATATCTCCACACGCAAGTCCAAAAATGTTTTTGCAGGTGAATCTCATGATTTATTGAGGTGATTCTGACTTACACACTGTCACAAAATATTGAATAGAATACATGAGCATACATGAAGTGTTGGTTGCACACTCCAATATCAAGATTTGTCGCCTTTCAATATCAAGGGATTAAATCCTGCAATTTGCTTACATGGTCTTTTTCCGTTTTCGTTCTTTTTATATAAGCATTCGTTCTTCCCAAAGGAATTCAAGGCGAAATGCTTCCCCTGCTGTGCAATTCCAGCATTTGAGACTTCACCTCTTGAATAACGTTCCTGAAGTAGATACTGGTCCTGCATTGATGGAGAGCTTGAAGTGGATGTTGCCTCATTCAGAGCCACTGGTTATTAGTTCTGAAGTCCGTCACCAGAAGATGCCGTGCCCTCTGAGAGAAATACGCGAGAATACTCGCGGCGGGCAGATAGGAAGAAGGACGACTCTGGATCGTGGTCGGTGACAAGAGATGTGTTCCCCATGACGAAGAATGATATAGCTTTATCTGTAGGTTCATCTCATGTGGGACGTTTGGGATGCTAAATCTAAAAGCCGTCTCTTTGCTGTTTGTGACCCGATTTCGACATAAGATGTATTCAGGTGTTGATCCGAGATTCAAATGTTATGGTTTCTTCTCTTGAAATTTGTGTGCGCGCGCGTGTGAGAGAGAGAGCAAACAAGAAAGCTTAATCAATCACCAAATAAAGATGCATCAATCTACCCTCATAAATATCTGTAAGCCTCAATGAGTTATGAAGGCACCTAGAGACCCTCTTCAACTAGTTCTCATCCTCTCTAGAGTAAATAAAGGTTCTTTGACCAATCAAAAACCTGTTCTATTTTTCACTCTGAACTGTTTCTCCTGCGGGTGATACTTTAATCGGCTCTTAAATAAGTTTGTATGACAAGTCTCGTAATAACAATTTCGCCAACTTCCTTAATAAATTGTATGACTGTGAGCTTCAGCACGGATCTCTCTCGACATTTTCTGAATTGATGATACCGGAACCAAACAGAGTCCTCTGCTTCGTAAATCAAGTTTCCTTTCCCCGTTCAATTCTACACCAAGGCACGGCTGCGAGAAAAGCATGACATAATCAGATTAAAGAGAGTTTTAGAAAAAATCTCTTGAGTGCTCCAAAGTTTTTTTAAATAACTTTCCTTGTTGAAACTGGAAAAAATGTTGTACAGACATAACATTTGTGAAACTAGCATATGAGATTAAGCTCTATAATATATTAGAGAAAAGTTAGTGAATGCTAGTGATTGAGTACCTGTGGTTGGAGTGCTCTGATGCTACTATATGAGTTGCTTAGCATCTGGAAAAGATTCTGTAGGCAACACAGCAGAAATGAGGAAGTATCGTCAGTGACTTTTTTGGGTAAATTCAATTTTCACTTGAAGTTCATCGGCATGCATTCTGAAACAGGACTAGATAAATAGGGATCAAAACAAGATGAAAAGGGTCGGTCTCTTTTCCATTATCTGATTTTTGAGTCTTTGGATCATTTATCGATTGGACAAGGTAGATGAAGATCATCCATTACCTGAATTTGTTCTTGAAGGAGCTTGATGTATAGGGAAGCTTCTTGGAGTACTGAAGCAGTGTCAGTCTGAAATGTTTTCGTTAACATGGAAGAAAGCAATGAACATTGAGGAGCTAATATTCAGATATATTGCGCATCTTTTAGAAGTTACTAAAATTCTCAATGAGATGCAAACTGACCTTGCCATATGGAGATACCAGCTTTTGTAGAGCCGTAATTTTGTCACCTATCTTTTGACTTCTCTTTACGGGAACTTGCATCTGCAAATTTAACTGATAAATCACTTGATGTCCGAGAAACAATAGTTAAGTTGACAATCGATATTTCTCTGGTGAACTATACTAAAAGGAAAAGAAAATACCCTGCATCGTTGAGCCTTAACCGAGCCATTTTTGACTTCATGAGGTTCTTCATCAGACAAGGTTCTTTTCCTCTTGTTCTTATTCCACTCGTTCAAAGGCATGCTTTTGAGCAGCGATACGCTAAAGCCCTCTTCGGGTACAAACCCTTTTCCCTCTAATTGATGCTTCCTTGCACTGTGATTGGCCTGCAAATCCTGGAGACAGATCACAAGTCAAAACACTGAACCGCTCTGTCTCGAACACACATTCGATGCCAAAATCAACTTATACTACATTAACCTTCGGAAATCCTGAGCTATAATTGACAACTAATTTTTTCTTAAATCGAAATAATCTAAGAGATAAATAGCATACACTTGGAGTTTGTGGAACCAAAAGCTTCTTTCTTGGCTGCTCATAGATTGTAGTATCATAGCTTGATGTGATGTACTCATAACCTGTCAAATTCAGAAGGTAAAAATTCATTAATCCCTTCTTAGATGCACGATGCAGTCCTAGAAAGAAAAGATGAATTTTGAGGCGTGTGTAGCTCGATATTATATCACTTGATTTCTCCTTAATCTTAGAGAAAGACTATAAAGTTTATCACAAAAAAAAACACATCAAACCTGCTTGAAGATCATGAAGGGGCTGAGCAGGAATAGCCATATTATCTTCACCTCTTAACCAGTAGTCATCATTGAATGCTTTGGACTGCAAATAGAATCCACCATTGCTGTGCATGTTCCTGTCATCAAAAGCATATCACAAGGAAAAAAAATGTAAGTATATTGCCAGTTTTCCTCTTCTTCTTTTTTTCAGGTAAAAGACAAAAAGAAGACAAATACATTTTGTTGTCCACCAGGGTAGAAACTTCCAAATTCGGCATCCGAAACTCGTTTCCTGAAGATCAACAAACGAGCATTTCAAACAATTTATATCAGGAAGAAACTAATCAACACGAAAAATTCAACTGAACTGGCCACAAAGTCATGATCCTTCATTGGTCGCAATCAAATAAAGGAGCAAGCTTGGTGATGCATATAGATCAACTACAGTAATATGAGTCAAAGAATTCTTGTTTACCAATGTTGAAAAGCTCAGATTGTAAAGATGGAAGAAAGGAGTTGCTCATTGTCGCAACTAAATAGGGTCTTCAATGCAACTTGGAATGGCCTACGCACAAACAGAAAACCCACCAGATGGCAGATAGTGAATGATTCATGAGTATAACCATCTTCAAATGATTTTTGGTAACTTAACTAAAACTTCAGAAAAACACATCCAGAAGTTCAAATTTAAATGTGGGTATATTAAAGATCATGCATTTCTTTAAAAATGATCACAAGTGAATTATTCCGTGCAAGTTGGTGACTCAAAAAGCTTCCAAATTTCTCAGTGACCATTTAATTCTCCCATTTCCAGATATATTCACCAAAAAAGAAAGAATTGCAGAGAAGGATTAGGCAAATATAAAAGCAAGAACATGGAACTAAAACTAATGCATAAATTGGTCGATCAAAAGGAGCAGACAAAACTCACTGTTTGAAGATATCTTCTTCTTCTTCTTCTTCTTGGGATTATATAGTGTGCTGATCTTCGTTTCGAAACAGAAACGACAATAAAAAGTTCATAAAAAGCCAAAAAAAAAATGGGGCTTTTGCTTGTGGAAGTTGGACAAAAGAGAGTATATAGAGACTGAGAAGGAAGATGAAGAGAGGAGCTATGACAGCAGAGATCTAGAGCTTTGCTTGGAGTATGAGCAAACGGTTCTGTTTTTAGAGAGGGACTTTGCCATGGCTTTGCAGGCTCATTAAATCAAAGCTCGATTTCATTGCATAAATGGAATCTCAAACGTCCAAATGACTCAGACACATAAAACAAACATTAACAACGTTATTTATCATTATGTGCAATTCACCAAGGTGGGTCTTAGTTCTCTACTTCTGGAAAATAATATCAGTTCGACGTCGCCATCGCTTCATTTGACTTCTATTCAGTATTCAGCAGTAGAAAATGATGGACGCATAACTCCTCACCATGTCACTGCCATTGATCATTATTTATTGCCATGCTGATCATAGTCAAACCCTAAAACAAGTATATCAGATCAGTTGAGTTATGGGGTCTTGAATGTATTTGGTCGGCTGCGTATCCGTCGATCGGTTTTCTAATCCTGCATTTCAGGTTTTCTCTGGATTTTAGCATACGCATTTGCTTTGTGTCGAATTCATTATAAACGTCGTTTGGTGCTAGCTTCAGGAAATCCTACTTACAGTCGTTTATATGACTAATAGAAATGACGGTGTGATTAACGCAATCTTTGATTCGATGTTATCGACTCGTTAATATCACGATGCAAGCGAAAATGCTCTCGAGAAAAGAGCGCCCGCATGCATTGACATACGATTGCACTAGTTAATAGTTGTCGCGGTGCATGTCAAAATCAAAATATATCTGGACCATGATTAGCGTTATTTCTGGGTACTGGTACAAATACCATTTCTTTTCCAATATATACGTTGATGGGTTGTTCAGTTTTGACTTTTTACTTGCCATTTTCACATGGTATTGTATATAAAGCAAGATGCTTTATGAACACGAAGACAAAAGAAGAAGAAGGAGGAGGAGGAAAGGATCTTCAAGTTACTTACGTGAATGGAAAGGTAAATAGGTCTTGAGTCACAAGGAAGAGATGTCATAAAATTTTTAACATTTTCGTTGCATTTCCTAAAGTCTAGCAAATGAAAACTGTACTTATCCACGTTTAAATTTCAACACAGTAATGACATAGTGACAAATAACCATGAAATTCAAGGAGACCCTTGGTTTTATCGATAATAATAGTTCAGTGTTTTCCAATTAAATTTTTGGAGTTTTTCCGTGTCAATTCATCACATCAACAGAGACTATATTTCTAATATTGTGCGAAACTAACAGGAACCGTCCATGTAGATTTTCATCGAATCACATAATTATTCCAAAAGTCACGCAATGGAGAAAGGTACAGTCAAATTAGGCAAATTATACGTATCAAACAATAAATTGAATTGTATTATAATTTTACTATATGTTCTTCTTTTATACATGTAAACTCTATTAGATTGGAAAAATGTAATTTAAATCAATTTATAAGCTAAATTGTATTATAGATTTTGAGTTAATAATTAGTCAAAGAGGATTCTTCATTTTTTTATATCTATTTTTGTATAATCAGTTCAGTTTTTGGGATGGGAAAACTTCATAAGATGAAGACATCCACTCAAATGAAAATAGAGTAGAATGGCAAAAATAAAGACATCCGCTATTAAAATAATAAATTAATTGGTAGATCATATAAATTAATTTTACAATTTAGGACATCAAACTATTGAAATGAACAAAGAAGTAACTTAATTTAAACAAGAATAAGATTAATAAGTTATAGCTACTTTAAATATGGCTTATTATTTTTCCTAATACTTGAATATTATACATATATTTTGGAATGAGTAACGTATCTTTTTATTGTTCATGTACTTTCTCTTACTTTTGTCATCCTTTTTTCATCAAAGAAAGAGAAAGAAAGATAGTATCAATTTTTTTTATTTAGTCATTAAATTAATATTTAAATAATGGATAAGTAAAATAGTCTCGATTTTTAACTTACCCATTCGGATAGAATTAAAATGTCATCAGGAGTATAAAGACACCAAAATCCACACACTCAAAAAACGAAAATACAACCTAATTTGCGACAAAAGCAAATGGCATTTAAACTTTTCTCTTCTAAATTCTCTAACATATGTCTATATTAGTCGATTTCAAATTCGAAACTTTAGGCCGCATTATGCTTGCCCGATTCGATAACCTTTTCACTTGGTATTTTCGCGCAAAACGTGGCCTAAATAATTAGTAAAGACACCGACCAAAAAAAAGATAGTAAAGACATAATTAGCGATCTCTTCATTTCCTAAACCCGTACCTCTCTTTGGCTCTCAAATCTCCTTTCCCCCCGTTTCTTGTCCAAATCATAAAGCGCACGTAAGTTCATAGAGCAGAACAACTCCCACAAGCAATTGTATATCGTCGGTGCCGATCATCGATGATGTATATCGATGTGTATAATCCACGTGTATTTCGCTTTTTAATCTCGGGCAGTCCACGAGATTAGTCATAAAGTCGTACCTATACCTAAACCTAAACCTAACCTCGGACGGAGTTTCATTCGACTTGGGTCGGCCGAGAAAGAGCTGAAAGGAAACACATATATGTTGTTTTCAAATGGGGGATGAACACGACAGCATTTGATCCTACGTCTGTTCATGGTTGACTTTAATCGCATCTCTGCTGTGAAATCGATGGACAACGAGCCCTAAAAACTCTGTCGATAACGTATGTCTTTGTTCTCTTCCTGCCTTAGGGGTCGGTCGCGATCTTTTAGTTCGTTCTTGCTTGTCATTGCGTTGTCTCGGGCTCTTGGTCACATCACGATGAGTCTTGACACAGTCATTGTGCGTTTGCCCATTCCTTGTTGAAGTTTCGTTTGGAATTAAGTGAAAGCAAAAAATGCTCCCATCGAAATTCGAAATATTGTCTATGTGTTAATCTACGTGTCGATGTTTATCCATGACGAAGCTTTCGGGAGTCTCAAATTAAAAAAATAAAAAGTGCGTGAGTCACGGTTTTTTGATGAAACATAGAGTGAAATGGTAAAAGTCAATCCAAAACACGTGCCCCTCGCCCTTTTCTTTCGCGTACGGGTCAAAATTATACATAAGTTACTGAATAATGCCACGTTATCCCTATGAATATAGGAAAGAAGTATGGCGTAGATTACTTCAGCGCCGTAACGCCTGGCTCGGGGCATTTTCTCTACCCCTTCTTGCCTTGAAAAAGCGGGGGCACCACCGTAAGTGTGCGTGGTGTTCTTAATGAAAATTGGACAAGTAAGACGTCTGCCATAGACGTGAGGTTTGTGGCTAAGCCGTAGCGTAGGCTAGTGAGTCAAAAGAGTGTCAAGTTTCTAGAGTAGGTTTAGCATATAACTTCAAGGACAATCCTACTATTCTTTTTCATCATGCCTTGAAATCATTAGATTCTCGTAATGAATAAAGCATTGTCCAATATCCGAAATCCTCGTCACGAAGAGCATGCTAGCACATGTACATTGATCTGAATCTAACATTTGTGTCGATCCATTAAAAATGAAGAAGATAGGTGTTGATCCATAATTCATATAGATGATTTTTTTTCCCAACTAAAATCAAAATTAGATACGGTGATGGAAATCGGGTTAGCTACTTTATATTTTATTCGACACATAAAAATTAATGAAAGAGGATCATATATCTCAGCAATACAAGTCTTATGTCACCACGTTTTTTAGTCCCATCGTGTCATGCAAGTCGAAACAACTGGCGACAAATTAACTTCTCAAAACCGTGCACAACCAAAAACAAAATCAAAGGAATCATGATATAAAATATGTAATAAATTGTTCATAATTTATAAACTGCGAGGTCTCAAGCGTCTGATTCCGACCGTCTTAGGGTTTAATAATGAGATTAACCGATTAACCGATCATTCACGGGTATATAATTTCGATTGGCAGTTCGAATCTGTACAGATCTCTCAACCTCAGAAAAAGCGTTGACCGAGCGTGGGAGAGACCAAAAGGAACAGCATGTAAAGCTTTCTTCCCTTTGTCCTGTAGACGTTCCGAAATTCTTTATACAAGGAAATACCGACTGCTAACATGTGTAACGATGCTAAAGCCCCCAGATTAATCATGTAATCAACTTGCTAATTAATAATTTATTAATCTTGTTTTGTTGACGTTACACGAGTTGCCTTGCTCTAGAGCCCTTCCAGTGACCCCAAAAGAGACAATTACATATGAATTCTTGTTGGACTTCGGGTGGTGGAGTTATCGCGTTTGGGAGATTGTAGGGTTTTATTAAACGTGGCGCGTAATTAACTAATGATGTGGATTTTTATTATTTTTAATGTGTTTACCAATTATCTCCTTAGGGACTTGTCAGATGATTAATCACGGTGATTTTTAAAATTGATCGGCAGCTTTATCGTCCTCTACTTGGCAATTGTATTCGTTCTAGAAACGTGAGAGTTTCCACTTCACGACTGCTTGTGTAACATATATTTAACACCGGTCATGTATCTTATGTAAACCTTTATAATAAACCCAAGTTATGAAGAGTCTATATCAAGGTGTCGGACCTTTCTAGTACCTAAACGTAAGCTCTTTGAGATGGGGGTATTTATTCCACTCTAATCTTTGGGGTAACAACACCACGAGTACCTGAGTTTTAGTCCGTATAACAATCAAAGTAGCTAATTTGTTTTGCTGAATTGAGTATCTCGACTTTTCAATTTGGCTCACTGCAAGGGCCTTCATTAGATAGATTGTCAGGTGTTGCGTTTTTGCTAATATGACTTGTTTTCTCAGCAAAAGTTAAGGACAATTGTTAACATTACTCGCTTACCTAAGAAAGTTTATGTCATGTCCGTTTAGGTATTTGGGTGATGACAAAGGAGAGCGAGTTGGTCTAGACGAGCTAACCCATCCAATATATCTCTGATAACATGTCATCATCTCAAGAGGCCACATCGAATGACAATGTTGACAGTTAACGGCTATACTGTTGGGTTCATCAACGAAAACAACGCAGCGGAATATAGAACCCTAAACAGGATCCATGTGTATATTGAAATCGAAAAGGAATTTCGATACGTACCTTTTGCAGATTGAAGATAAATCAGCAACTGATTGTGTCTGGATGAGCGCCCCAAGTGTTGC